TACTTTTAATAGCTTTCATACATGGCCATGTGATACCCAAATAGTGGCAGCTTGTGTTCTTCCTTTCCAAGACTTGCCACCAGCTGCAGCTTCTGCTTTCAGGCTTGGCTCATTCTCACCTTATTCATGATTTCAGTGGGGGAACTTCCAGTGTTTTTTTCTCCCATTAAGTGTAGCATGCCTGCATGATACTCTTTATCACATGAAGGAAACTTTCTACCACTCTTAATGACAATGAAAACTAGGTGCCATCTCAACCTGTGGCTTCCTTGTCTAAGTGACTGTCTACTAAAGGAAAAGCAGCTGGGATCCTTTTGAGCACATTCCCAGTTCTTTTAAGGAGAAAACACTGGAGTCCAAAAACGTCACTTCCATTCAACATCTCAGCGGCCACATATGAACCACATAGCCACACCTAGCTCCACATAGCCACACCTAGGTTCAAGGGAAGCTGGGCAATGACCCTTTTCACTGGACAGCCTGAGCACTACTGCAGTAAAGATTGTCCAAATAGGACAGGACATGAACTGCACAAGTGACTGTATGCTTCTTAAATTTGTCCACATAGTAAAAAATGAAATTGTACATTAATCATCCTTGCATTCCCAGAATAATTCCCACTCAAGTGTGAACATTGTTTTGGTGTATTGTCCCCGCGGATTCTATTTGGGAGTACTTTATTTAGGATTTTTGCATCAGTGTCTCCTGAAAATAAATTTGTTTCAGAAAGTAGTAAGAACACTTTTTACATTTAAACAATTCTTTGCAGTTTTTAAAAATTCATTTCACATACATTATCTCTTGTGGTTATAGATGATACATCAGAAGCTCAACGTATTTTTGGGGGGAGGAGCAGCTCAACTTGCCATGACGGCAGGGCTGGCATGGCATATGGTGCCAGAGACTGAACTGTGGTCCCCTGCACCTGTGTAAGTTTGCCTAAGCAGGTGCTTTAGACTGCTGAACTCTCTCACCAGCCCCTCATCATGTTGTTAAAGGCCAACAAAAGTATGTAAGTAGAAAATATCTACAGATTGAATAGTGCAACTTCTTTTAATTGCCTAAATCCTAGAGAGCCAAAAGTAAGACTAGAGTATAGATTGGGGAAGAGACAGAGGTTCAGGGGCCTGAAAAGGGAGTTCTGATTAGAAGACCCCAGGGAAGGATGGTCACCCCCTCTGGAAGGCACAGGGAACAGTGGGGCTCTGAGCTCTCTGTAATGTCTGGCATCTGTGATGTTCTAGACATTATACTAATGCAGATGTTAAACAACCCCATTCGAGTGTGCAAGTAAAGGGTTTTTTGGCTAGTAAGCATCTTTGGCTTTGTGAACTTTTGATTCCTTACTTACCTGTATGTACTGACTTAGGTCACGGCAGCTGAGTGCTCTCACAGACAAAGGAGCACTCAAAGCACAAGATGCTCCTGTGTCAGTCTGGCAGCCAGGGCATGCGTGTGCTGCTCACACCCTCCCCTGGGACTGGAGAGATTTTCCAGAACACACAGTAATTACCTAACAGCAATCACTCACCACTATAAGTATGAAATGCCTCTGGGAGAAGATAGATGGTACGCTGATGTAATTTTGCCAAGAGAGGCACTCAATATTAAGAATAACTAGGTGTCACAGTACACATAGAGTTACCTGGGTAGCGCAGCCTCTTAGCTTTTACCCATACAAAGTATGTGATCTCTGAGGCTTGGCGCCCCCATTGTGTCCTACTCACAGAACTTAGCTACTTAGGGCAACATGTAACCCCAAGATTGCTCCCGGGGGCTCTCAACACCCTACCCACACCCCTTTTGGCCTGCTTCTCTCCTGCCCCCAGTGTCACACACATGCACAAGCACGCCTGTGCTGCAGGCACACCTGGACCACTCCAGGCTGACCATGTCGACGCCCATTCCAAAATGAAGCCACAGCCAGGAAGCAGTCTGATTACGTTCTTGGTCAACACGCACATCACATTTGAGAAGTTAGCTTTTGAAGTAGCTGTTGGCCTTGAATTTAGGGAGCAGATCACAGTGACAATTCATTCAAATCTATTTCATTTTGCACTGCTTGTTCCATGGCCTAGGTACCTAAATTCTTAAGGATTATTGAGATAAATTTCTATCCCCTGGATCACTTCTTTTTACTATGCACAATACACAGACTAAAGCACAGAGACATGTCCCAGAACTGCATCTATTTTTAACATCATCAGCCCTTCGAATTAATTATGAATATTAAACATGGATGAGCTTGAAGTCCTGATGAATAGACACCCCCCACGCACTCTGCTATTTGCACAGTCTCTGTCTGCCGTTCCTTGTGGATGTTACATGACTTGAAGGCACAACATTGGTGTAAACAACCCAAGAGGTGTCACTAAGCATTGTGGTTTAAAATAAATGCTTTAAAATAGTTAATTATACCTTTTCCCCCAAAAGAAGAGATAGTGTCTCCTCAGCCCCCTAAACATGGATAAAGCTTTTGGAGATCCAAACTTTGGTAGCCTATTTTTAAAGTGCTGAAATGGAGTTTAAAAACAAGCTTTCCAGAACCAAGTCACAGCTGCCAGACTCTGTGGTCTCTCATGTGTAAGGACATAAGGGGCAAATTGTAGGGTGAGGGAAAGGAGTGGGGAAAGAACATTTAGGCTACCAGATAAGAAATAGGATAAAAGCTACACAACTAAAAGCTTGGTGCAGGTTGAGCAAAAAATAGGTAAATTTAGAAGGGGATTAAAAAGCACAGTACAAAGTAGACCTAAATATACCTGAGAATTTAGAAAGGAAATGAAGCCCTAGCCTCCCTCCTTTCTACCTATTTTTCCATTTTAAGAACTTAATAAATATTGTGGTGTTATTGAAACACGTTTGGGTTATTCAAGATTTACATGTAGAAAGTAAAACTATAGAACTACTGCAAAGATATTGAGTGAGGAGCGGTGGTGCACACCTGTAATCCTAGCACTTTCTGAAGAGGCTGAAAAGCAGGCAGATTCTTGAGAGGCCATGAGTTTGAGGCCAGCTGAGGTCCAAAGTGAGGTCAAGGCCAGCCTGAATTGTGTAGTGAGATCTTGTCTCTTAAAATGAAAAAAGATATTAAAATGAATATTTCTATGATTTTGGGTGATGACAAACTCTAAGCAGAGCATCATGCCTGGAAGCTATTATAATATACATTAGTGAAATTTGACTAAAAACTGTAAAACTTGTGCATTCTCAGCATAGACAGTCTCATTCTTAACCCCTGAACCCCATTCTCAAAAGAACTCTTAATTCTAAAGCCTTAAATAAACATGTCTTTTTATATATGTAAGGAAATAAATTAAATGAAAACTTATGATCCTACCATGACTTAAATATTTCTGAAAGAGCTGCAGTGCCTGGGTGATCCTCCCTAGGCTGGATGAGTCCAGTATACAAAGATCGTGTATCTGTAGAAGCAAAAGCTGCCAGCAGCCTTAATCCCTCACAAAAGCCCCAGACCACATGCAGCCATTAGCCAAAGAAAACAGCCAAAGAAGGGGCCCGAGCAGCAGACCTGTCCGTGCACTCTGCGAAGCTGGAAACAATAGCTGAACTCCAACACTCTGTGCTTCATGGTTCTACAGTCGGACCAATGCAAGGGTTGGAGGAATTTTTAAGTTATATTATCCGTGTGTCATGGAGAGATTATGTTGGCCTTCTTAATGATATAAAAATATTTCATAGTGACAGATACTTGTATGCGGTTCTAATATGGCTAGCTTTTAAAGCATTCAGCCTGAGTGAAACACCATCAAAGAATGTAGGTTGAAAATCTGCATGGAGATGAAGGTCAGAGGAAAATTCTAAGTAGCTTCTAAGTACTTGCAACACCCTGAGCCAATGTGACCCGGTTTCATCTCTCTGAGTGCCTGCAGCATGTGGCTGTGGCCAACTTTAAGCAGCCATTGTGCGGTTTCATGTTGTCCTGAATCTATACCCTAATTGCAGGTTGGCTCTTTAATGTGAGGTCACCTGAAATAAAGGAAAATGTCCACGTGGATGGGGGCTTTTGTGCCCCAGTCTGCCTGCAGCTTTCCCTTTGGATTTGAATAGGCTGACTGCTGAAACTCCAGTGTAGTTGATACTGTTTTCTGTGTATTGACCCAGTAACTGGTTGGGTTAGGTCCTTGAAACTTGGTGTCATAGTCTTATAAAAGCCCCCTCATGGAGACCCTAGAATTCCTCACCACCAAGCTCCACACACTGTCATGAAGCATCATGATTATGAGCTGTATAGCTCCAGCCCGCTTGCTTCAAACAATCTAATAACAGAAGCAGCATGGTGATAAGAATATTTGAGCAGGGGAAGGAAAACAATCCTGAAATGATCTGCCTCCACTTTCCCTTTGTTTGGGATGGGGTTGCAGAGCTGTTTCCACTGAATGAGCTAAAATAAGCAAAGAGTAGCTATGGGACCATTATTTTACACTGCAAACCATATAAAAACTCTTTAAGTATCTGGTTTTGGTTGCTTGAGTACTAACTGTTGGAGAAAATTGCCTTGGAAACCATTTGCAGAGATCTATAATTGAGTATTCATCGTCTGTATTGTGGAAGGGAAAGGACAGTCAGACAGGTAGCACAGCCCCAGCATCTCACCTTCTGCTCCAGTGCCGAATGCTCTTGGCCCTCAGGGATCTGCAGATGTAGTGTGCAACTGTAAACTGGGCTGACCTGGAAGGGTCCCCTGTCTACCAGATCCGGGGTCGGGGTCAGTGCCATGAAGTTGAAAAGAGCAGCCTATGACCTCACTGGTGCCAAAAGTCATGAATTCAACTGAGGTCTCTTCCAATAGCCTCCCTGATAGCAGATGAAAGAATGTGTTTCCATTTCTGGCCTGTTAGGGGTTCTCAGCCCAGCATGAAATTCACAAAAGCAGTGGCATCATGTGTTTGCATGGTACGTCATCTAGACATTTCACTGTGATTTCCCTCCACCCCACCCGCTTCCCGACTGCCCCTCCCCTGCCCCTCTCGCCACAGGTGTGGAAGACATTGTGGCCATAATGATTCCTGAGCCCAAAGGGAAGGAGATAGTGAGCCTGCTGGAGAGGAACATCACCGTGACGATGTACATCACCATCGGGACCCGGAACTTGCAGAAATACGTGAGCCGCACCTCGGTTGTGTTTGTCTCCATCTCCTTCATTGTCCTGATGATCATTTCCCTGGCCTGGCTGGTCTTTTACTATATCCAGAGGTTCCGATACGCAAATGCCAGGGACAGGAACCAGGTGAGTACCAAAGAGTTCAAAGAAAAGCTTCTTAAAATTCTTACAAAAGCAATACACATGATTATAATCTTTGAAAACCACCGAGGAACACGAAGACAAGAATAGAATTACCCATGGGCCCTCTACTCGGCAGAAACATATTTCCCAAATACATACATTATCCTGCTTAATAGTGTTGTATAACATGATCATGATTGACTATATTCCTCTTCTTTTTGTGGACAATTATTTAACCAAGAAAAATAAAGAGAGACAGGGAAAGTGAGTAGAGATCATGCTCATAGGGTTCCTCATATATTTATGTAATATAGATATTTTTAAAATAAAATGATAGCACACTTAACTGTATCCCTCTTTCTCACTTCATCTGGGAGATTATCTTGGTGTTTGATTTGTATCAATGCACAAATCAGTCTCATTTCTCAATTTCCTGATGTGCACATTGTCACATGTATTCAACTCCTATTATGGCCGTGTTTTCCCTCATAAAACAACATGTACTCATGACACTTAGCACATCTGTGAGCATGTAAAGTAAAGCCTATCAAATTTAACTTGCTAGAATGATATATATATTATAAGCTATAACAGCTTGGCAACTTATCTGCCCAAAACTGTTGGACCAGTTTCGACTTTATCCAATAGTACATAAGAAATAGTGACAGCTGCTTTTGGGATGTGATCTGATAAATTAAAAATTATAATTTTTTGGAGCTAAAGTATGTAGAGCTACAGTGTATAGCTCAGTAGTAAAGCACTGACCTGTTGTACTCTGAGTTTAATCCTCAGCACTGCAAAAAGTAAATATATATCACATGCTTTGTATTGTAAGATTAAACATTTTCAAGTATAACAGAAAAATTGAACTTTTTTGCATAATATCTGCTTATATTATTTGGTCAGTTTTCGTCTGAAATATTGGTCATTTTCTTTTAATGTGCAGAAGGTCTTTACTAACAAGGAAATTAATCTTTCCTTGTGACACTCGATTCAGGTTTCTGTCCTAGCTTATCACTGTCTTTGATTTTATTTATGTTTCTTTCTGACATGCATCCATTTTTGGTTTTTACATAACTAAGTTTATGAGTGTTTTTATATAGCTCCCGGGTATTACATCAGATCATCTGCAGGCCCAGAATATCGACAAACTCTTGCAGTATTTTCATTTACCATGTTTTTATTTCATTTTTATGATTAACTCATTTATTTATTTATTTATTTATTTATTTATTTAGCGGAACTGGGGATTGAACTCAGGCCCCTGCGCTTGCCACGCAAGTGCTTATTCTACTGAGCCATCTCCCTGGCCCTATGATTAACTCTTAAAACACTTATTTTAGTATGAACAGTACAGAACTAGCAAACCTTTTTCAGATGGCCTACCATTTTTGAAACTGCAGTTCACTGAATATTTCATGTTTTCGCCTCTCGTATGCAGTGTCCTCATTTAGCATATACTCAATACCTAATCTGTTCCTGTGCTTTCTCAACTGGACCATTAATCTGTCCATTCAGACTCCAGTTCCACATAGTTCTGAGGACTGTAGAATTATAATGTGTCTCTTAGTTTTCATGCTTGCTTTTTTGTTGTATCTGTATTTTTCACATTTTATCTTCATATGAATTTAAAAATCACTATATCAGTTTCAAATGTATAGGACAATTGAAGTGTGTTACTTTGTCAAGTCTTCCTAACCAAGTATAACTTCCTCAACTCTTTTTCTAGTATCCAGGAGTATTTTATAATATTCTTGCTAGTTGTGCACATTCATTTTTTTATTTGTAGATACTTATTCTATTGCTATTACAAATTTTCTTTTGCAATATATAAAATTTAAATTTTTGTGTATTTTTGCATTATTAATTGCTTCATTATTATTGCCTTAACAATTATGCATAGTATTTATAATATACAGGGTTACTGAAGAGCTCTATAAATTTACATATCTAATCCTCATAAGGGCTGGCCAAATAGCTCAGTGAATTAAAGCACCTGGGGCCAGGGGTTCAATCCCCAGGCCTGCCATGCTGACCCCGCCCTCGGAGTGTGCTGAGACAGCAATTGAGCCTGGTGGTGCACGCCTGTAATCCCAGCTTTTGGGAGGCTGTAAACAGGCGGATCACTAAAAGTCCAATCTAGTAGTGAGACCCTGAACATCCTGTAGACCCTTCCCTAAAATACAAAAAAATCCTCATAATAATTCTATAATAAAAATTTTTATTATCCTTGTACAGATGAAGAAACTGAGCATAGAACGATCACCTGTCTCATCACTAATAAAGCCAGGAACTGAGTCACAGGTGTGACTATATATATTACAGTATCAGACCTGCATCAGTAAACCTATAGTTATTAATAATTTTGTCGTTTCAAATGTTAAGCATAGTATTATTCAAAATGTATTAGCTTTCCTGAGAAACCACCAGAAAAATCTAAAATAATATATTGAAAATATTTCTTTTCATGTAGTACTTGTGGGAACATCCTCAGTTTAGTGAGATTTTTCAATCATTTTTCATTTTATTATTTCATCATGTCTTCTAAGTTAATATACATATTTGTCATGTTATACAAAGTATCAGAAAGATCAGCTTTTTAGTAGGTGTTTAATTAAAAACAGATATTTACTCCAAATAAATCCCTGCTGAATAACTGTGCTTGACCTTTTTTTGTTTTGTACTATTCAAAAGAATGGACTATATTAATGGGTTTTCCAATTTAACCATCCTAAATTTGTAGTGTATTCCTTTCATCTGTCTTGGATCATAGTTATTATTTGGTATATTACTCATTTTTTACCTTAGCGTTTGAATGTTAAATATGCCCATAGTTTACACTTTTGTCATGTTAAGTAACAGTTATTACTCTGGCTTTATAAGGAGTGTCACACTTTTCTTCACTTTCTGTAGTCTACAGCTGTGATGTCCAATATGGCAGTCACTAGCCGTGTGTTTTGTTTTGTTTTTCTATACCAGGGATTGAACTCAGGACCTTGTGCTTGCCAGGCAGGTGCTTATTCTACTGAGCTATCTCCCCAGCCCTAAGTGATTCATTCATTCTTTCTTTCTTTCTTTCTTTCTTTCTTTCTTTTGCTGTACCAAGGATTGAACTCAGGACCTTGTGCTTGCCAGGCAAGAGCTTATTCTACTGAGCTATCTCCCCAGCCCAAAGAGACTTCTTGCAGTGCCAGGGATCGAACTCAGGACCTTGTGCTTGCCAAGCAGGTGCTTATTCTACTGAGCTATCTCCCCAGCCTGATTCTTAAGTATGAGTAGAAAGCTTCTGTGAGTTAATAGGTCTGAATTGTTTGGTTTAGGAAGATAGTTGTTTTACTTTTTTTGTTTATTTTATGGCAATTGATCTATTTTCTGTAACTTCTAGAACCATCTTTTAAACATTATTAATGCTTTTTTCTGTTTCTTGAAATGATGCCTATTCATTTTATTAAACTTTGGCAACCACACAAAAAATCACTTAGAGGAAAATCCAAGCACTCGCTACCACGCTGAATTGTTGGCAGTAGAGCATAGTGTTCTTCGGGCACTCGCAACGCGTCCACACATGTTCAGTGAGTTCTCCTTCCATGCATGTGGACAGGGGTGCAAGGCATGCTCACACACACATGTGTGCAGTGCACATTACACTGTGCATTTCCCATCATTAATCTTCTGAAACGTGAAGCTGCATGAATGTCAGGTTCCACTCTGCTCCAAAAAGAGAATCCTTTTTGTTGTTAGTTTTTTCTCGTGGGATTTCAGTGTGGATTAAATGAGTTGATGTACACCATTGTCAAAACCTCTGAACCCAACACTAATCACAGCAATGTCCAGTGAATAGTATCTTCTTTAAATTTTTTAAAAATGGATTTAGTACAGGGTCTCACTACACAGATCAGACTCGTAGTGGTCCTTCCTGTTTTTCAGCTTCCAAAGGGCTGGCATTGCAGGTACGCACCATCACACCCAGTCTTAATCCCAGTCTCAGTGCGCCCTGGGGGCAGGGCTGGCACAGCAGGCCTGGAATCGAACCCCTAGCCCCTGCGTCTGCCTAAGCAGGTGCTTTAATCTGCTGAGCTATCTGGCTGACCCTGCCCAGTGGAGGGTATCTTTATTATTATTACTATCATGCCGATTCCTCAGTGACTATATGCCCTATAACCCAAGTTTGCCACTTTCTTTAAATATTCTAGGATATAAATGAGCACAGTGCCGGCTAGACATGAGGTGGTAAAAATGGCCTTAGAAGTATGTAATGGATTTGGTTCCATGGATTACATGCGTAAAGTTTTTATATTTTTTACTCACCTACTCACAAAAAACTAAATAGAAAGGACATTCTATGTTTGAGCCTGAAGATAGCTCAAGTGGGCATCCATAAGTTTAATTCTTATTTCAGACGTTGCACTGGGGGCAGGCACATGTAGCCTGCAGGTCTGTCTAGGCACATGACTAATCTGGGATGCGCACCGAACACAAATTGGAAGGTGCTGATATGTAATTAATGTGGTTCTGTTTACTGAGTTTGAGTTTTTCCTCTGCTTTTTATTAGCTTTCCACGAATTACAGGGTTACTCAGCAAATTGGCATCATGGTAAAAGCTAGGACCCTTTCCTCATCAAAGTGGTCCCTATACTTTTGGTAGATGGGATTAGAACATATAATTTCCTTAGAAAAAATATCCCTCTTTTGATGGGCAGTGTGCTGTTCTTTTCTGTTTTATTTGAAAGCAAGTTACAACTATGCGGGCTGTAGCCATAATAAGTATCAGGTTAACTGAAATCATTTAGTTTTATTAAAGCATTATTGACCTTCAGAGTGACTCTCCGGTTCTCTGTAGGGGCACAGCCTGAAAGAGAATATAAAAGGCATCCGTTTTCCATTGGTAAAGTATGTGGAAAGAGGCTGAACTGAAATCACCTAGATGAGCGCCTGTGTCACTCAGCTTTGTACAGTTACAAGTAGGAGATTTGTCCTCAGCATCCCATAGGATTCTAACCCTT